CCACGATAAGGTGACGGTTCAAGGAGGGGATTAATTAATTAATATTAACAAATTTTAAAAAAGTGCTTTCTTGCAGACATCGAAGAGGATAACAGAAGCCTCTGAGGACCTAAACTGGCCCATGAGTTAAGTCTCACTGAAGACACTATGGCCCAGTGGGTTTCTGATGTCCAACAGTGGAGTGCAGTTAGAATGCAGACATTGAATTGCAGACCAAATAATGTATTGATCTGGTTCCAGTAAAATGTCTCTATCCTTATCTATAAAAGGCAACGACAAACAAAAATGAGAAAACTATCGAAGAGCTTTACCTCAGCATCAAGCAGCGCAAATACTATCTGTATCGACAGAGTGGTGAGATGGCCATAGTCATTCACATTATTAAAACATTATATATTAAATGTTTATACTATATTTTATCTATCATAAGATCTAAATGGATGTCCTGGAATTTCTAGCTGGAAGCAGGAGCCAGGCTAAACAAAGACAAAAGATTGCTCAGGAAAAAAGGAAGCTGTAAATTGCTCTTTCAGAATATAATCAGACGCAGGACAGCCAACTGCCTGATGCAAACGCTAACTTGTCTGAGGACCATTATTCCTGGCCCTGGGAATGTAAGTACAGTGCATGCATACAGTGAAAATGTTAAATTATGTTTATAATAATTACTCTGTGCTTCTTAGGCCACGGAATATGTGGCAACAAGAAAAGAACTTTTGACAAGATTATGCTCCTCACTCGGCTCCAGGAGGAGAAAGTGATCCTAGTGACTGAAATAAAAAGGCACTATGAATTCCTAAAAAAATGCTACTGCAACCTTAGAAGAGCTTTCTTAGACATCTGCTGAAGGTGGGTACAAGACCTTATTCAAATTATGCCAAACAATGAAGAGTAAATCTAATATTCAGATTTGGAAGACTGTCCTGAAAGCAGCCATGCAGGACTAATATGTGCTGTAAAAAAAAATGTCTTCACCAGATTAAATCAACTGAAAAAGCTGCAAGAAAAATCTACAATGACATTTTGGGGGGACAAAGCATGCTCTTTGAAGAGGGAGAGGAGGAGGTAGAAGAGGAAGAACAAGAGGAAGATGAGGAAGATAGAGTGTAGATGGTATGAATTACTATTTGTACATAGGAGTAGGACAGAATGTTGACTAGTAGAGGTTAGAATATTGATTTGAAATTAAAGCAAAATTTACTTTTCTAATATAGATATAGAATTACACTGAAAGATTTGTTTGGAAATATTATATGCATTATTATATGCATATCTGCTCTTTTTGCATCAGAGGATGAGGATTCTAGCAGACATGGATGCCAAGTTGGGAGCCACAAGCATCTGTATTGGTGAAGGCCCTGTGAATTGTTATTTGTTAGTCAAAATATTGGATTATGTAAGACATAATTGTTACTTTTGCAGCTGAAATTGTATGTGGGATCACCTGTTATAGTTCCATCTAAACCAACTCTTTCTGGTCAGATTGTGTTCAAATAACACTCAGATTAAAGTCTAACAAGCCTAAGGATCAGGGGTGTCAAACTCAAATTTACAGGGGGCCAAACTAAGTATTTATTGAAAACATTCAGCATCTGCATGTTTTCTCTGTTTTTCGAGATATGTAATGTTAAACCTTTTCATATTAAAATAAATGGTTAATAGTTTTGAAGAAAATTTCATGATGTGTGTGTAAAGTCCGGTTTATTGTAACAACATACCAAGTCTCAACTCTATAGCCCAAAAAGTTAGGCCAATATTTAAAAAAAAAACTCATTCCAACTTACAATGTCTTTGAATGGGACAATTCCACAAAACCCCTCTATTTTCTAACTCAGAACAGGAATTCAGCTTTCCAAAGGCATTACAGGAAAAATTCCAATGCAGGTTTATAGAGCCCAGCCTATTGTAGAAAAATCCCCAATGACAGATCCGTAGCCCAAAAGGTCGGTCTTCGGTGAGGCTTTACCCCAAAGTTGGCTTAACGGTGAGGCCTTAAGCCGAAAGGTCCTCTCCGACTATATGACCACATACCCCTTTCAAATCAGACAGCATTTAACATTTAGGCAAACCTGGAGATTTGAAAAACATTTTACTGCAGGTTTGTAGAGACAGGCCTATTTTACCAACATATCGAATCTCAAGTCCATAGCCCAAAAGGTAAGCCCAGTGTTCCACAAAAACCCTAATTCCAACTTGCAATTCTGTCAATGGAAGAGTTCCACAAAGCTGGGCATTTTTGCCCAGCCTATAGTACCAAAATCCCAAATCTCAACTCCATAGCTCAAAAGGTAAGGCCATAGGTCATGACACCAAGTGCTGATATCAGGAAAATTTGCAAAAACAAAGAGATTTGAAGAAAATACCACCACAGGTGTGTATAGCCTGGCCTATTGTACCGACATACTGAATATCAAGTCCATAGCCCAAAAGGTAAGGCCAGTATTCTACAAAAACCCTAATTCCAACTCACAATTCTGTCAATGGAAGAGTTCCACAAAGCCCTCCATTTTAGGATTTTTGCACCCCCTGCTGGCAAACCATGAAAAATGGCCATGTCAGTAATATATGTTTTTTCTTCTATTCATAGAATATAATTCCCAAATTTGGTACAAATCCGATAATGTTTCATGTCTATGGTAGGGGGCGCTATACTGTTGACTTTTCGTATGTTTTATAGTGTATTATATTCAGACTGAGATCATGCATTAGTCCGATCGTGCTGAAATATGAATCACTAAGTCTTTGCAAACAGGAGCAAATAATGTCATCTTGAAATTAGTCAAAATTTTGATCAAAATTTTGATAAAATATTTGACTAACTGCATGTAAACTGTGAGAGTTATCAAAATAAATGAGATAACTTTAGATGCCCCACTTCTCTAGATGATGTACGGTGATTTTCAGGCCTGTGGGTGAAGCGCCTTCAGAGGAGTGCATTCAAATGCAACGTCAGCGAAAATGCGGACTCAAACTTCAATCCAAGATGGCCGCCTTCTGGTTTGTCAGGGGGCGTGGCCACAATAACATTTTTTGTTTGTTTTCATTTATCCCACAGTTTAGCCCCCCTCCGTGGATTAGTGGATTAATCGGCAGCGGGGAAGGGTGATTATTTATTATTTATTTATTATTTAATAACCTCTTATATCAACTCAAGGTTTCACGTACTCGTCTTTGATGTTTTTTTTTATTTAGATATTAAGTGCATTTATTAATGTTATTTTATTTACTTTAGCATCAAAGGAAAACTGACATGCATGTACTGTCAGAAATCTTTTGTTCACCTAGATAAGGACCTCAAGGTCTCCCATGAACATGTCCCGGTGAGTTTTGTAGACAGTTACTTGCACACACAAGAAATGTGACAATATGAGACAGCATTTGTATAAATTCCTGTTCTTGTATTACTGCACACTTATTACTCTTGTTTATTCATTAAGCCTGAGAGGAAACTCCAGGCCCTGCAGCTCTCCCGCAGGGAGCGTGTGGTTGCTGAGCTTAGGGCACTGGGGGCTACAGAGCCCCTAGTACCAATGGTCACCTTCCTTGATATTACTGCCGAGGAAATGGAGGCTGAGGTGCCCCCGGACCCCAGCGAGCCCGAGGAGGATCCTGAGCCCCGCCCTGGAACCTCCGTCCCTGAGGCCTCCCCCAACCTGGAAATGGCAGTCCCCTGCCCAGGATGTAGGGCCCGTGAGGAGACCCTTCGCTGTGTGCGTAAGCACAATGCACTCCTCCAGGCCAAACTTCGGGCACAACGAAAAGAGCAGGGAGCGCCGTATGGACGAAAACACGCTGCGTCCAGGGACGGGGTCCCCAGGAGGGACCTACTTATGTTGAGTGAACACGAGAGGATATCAAAGTACTGTATTTTAAAGGTGCAGTTAGCAAATGCACTTGTCTGGTCCTTTGTGTCAAATGACAAACAATATGTCTTTTTGAACAAATTTCAGGGCAGTGGAGGTGTGGAGGGCCAAAGGCCACGCCCCCACAACAATTAAGAAATAGCTCACTGATGTGTCAGTGTTCCTTAAATGGGTCGGCTCAGCTTGGCCTAAGGGCGTACGCCTGTCATCTCGCCAGGTCACCGGGGCACGTGATGCTGTCTCAGCAGAACTGAGACAAAACACCCAGGACGTTGTGTCTCACCAGCAGGCGGTTAGACAGAAGAAGTGTGGTAAGGACATTAACGTATAGTAATGTGTAGATTATGGACACGGATGCATTAGATACAGTAGATATATTGCATGTATTGTATGTATTCCAGACTCTGTCCTAAGTGCAACTGTACATAGTTCATCAGACGGGTGACCAGGGAGCTGCCAAAATATTATGCCAAGTCTATGTTTTGTATAGATTATGTAATTTATATTCTCTAATCTTTAATCTGTGCTTTCTTAGATGAACTAATGCTCAACAAGTCACCCACTAATATGCAGAGTTTTTTTGGCCTCCTTGCTGGAATACTCATAGCAGAGACTGGCCACCGCATAACTGTCCTGAAAAACATGCTGGCAGAGGAGGTGTGGTGCACGTTGCCGCGACTGCTACATCATATACGTGCATTTTCATTTCCGTGTTTATCTTTTGAAAAATTATTTTATTTGCACATATGTTTTCTAAAGAATAAAACGTTATTTCCTCTTAAAAAAGTTAAGCGGCATAAAACCCGCCAAACTTTCAGGGACGCAAAAGTTCCCGTCTCAGCCCTGGTTTATGGGGTAATGGGGTCATGGCTGAGTAACCGTGACACGGTCACAGGCGGTCACTCATCTTTTTTTTTCTCCTCCATGATGGGTCAGAAGGCCTCACTCCTGCTCCCCGAATTCCGAAGGACCTGGATTGCCTAAGCCCGCCCCGAGTTTTGGGGCATTTCAAAGCTCCATGGCCACTTATGTGAGTACCTGCGTCATGCATTCCTTATGCCGTTCACACACTACATTTTCCTGTTATTTCACCAATCATATGTTCGTTTCAGGCGCTCATGGTGAGTGATGAGGCACAAGTCAGTGCCATCGCCACCCTTCACGGCGATTTTATCAGGCAGACCTGCCGGCCAGGGAGATGGTGAAAATACGGAGGCTGATGCTCAGGGCCCTCACTTGTGGGGAAGAGGAGGAGGATGAGGAGAACCCGGAAGAACAACCGCCACAGACACAGTAAGTCTAACTTATTTCCTACACATCAAAGGGACTGTTGAGAATTTGAAAGATTTATATATTCATGTGTCTCTCACTCTGTCATTCCCAAAGGACGAGTCGAGTGACTCCGAGTCCGATGAGGAAGATAAGAGCCTGTGGATAGTAAGTTCAAGTTCTTATTTCCCACACATATGCTCCAGGCTCCAAAAGATCACAGATAGAGATAGAGATTCATCCCGTAGGAAATTGAAGCATTCTGTAACATCCAAAACAAGACATCCACATAACAAACACACATACCAACGTCACAATGTGACACATGTCTGAATTTCTATTTCTCAAAGCTCCTGGAAAAGAGGAAGGAGGTGGTCTCCATCGAGCTACTGAACAAAATAACTGGGCAGATGCCAGGTACGTAGGTAGCATCATTTATTTTATTATAAATGACTAGTAAAATATTACTATTATTTTATTAGTCATTGTGTTTTTCTCATTCTACAGAAAGAGTGACACCACAAAAAGTCACCACCGAAGACACCACTGTGGAAACCCCGGAGCACCCCAGTGTCCCAGATCCCCCTCCCCTCTCTGTCCAAGCCCCTGAGCCCTCCAGGAGCCCCTCACTCCCCCTCACTCCCTAAAAGAAAAAGAAAAAACAAAAAAAAATCTTTACTGTCTCTTTTTTTTTTTTTTCTAATCTCTTTATTATCCTCTATGTTAATATAAATCCTAAAAAAAAAAAAAAAAAAAAAAATTATCTTTTTAATCGCGATTAATTGTAGTTGTATTGCATGTTATACGCAAAACCAATTAATAAATTAAAAAGTAGAGTATAGCACACTTTTATTGGAAATGTAAATGAAAGAGTCAAACATTCGTTGTGCAAACAGCATTTCTTTCACTGGGGAACCTCAGAGTCTTCAAGGTTTTCTGAAGACTCAAGAAAAAAAATATTGAATGGACTTTTGTATTACTAATATATTTTTGGAATTTTTTTATGCAGTGAGTAATAAACACTACACTAGTAATAATTTCTAGATCATTGTTATAAATTTATGTTATGAATTTTATATTTCTTGGGAAACAAAGGGTTAATATAATGGAATAGAAAATCAAAATTTTTCTTCCAGTGGTATCTGGGTAAATCAGTGACTCCCCCTGCAGCGCTAAAGAAACAGGCTCAGCTCAGAGCGCATGGCTGGTCCGGGCCACAGCTGAACCCGCGACACATTGCATCTCACGTGGTCAGAAAAAAGTGAAAAAAGTGTAAAGAAAAGACGTCAAACTTAAAGAAACGCTCACAGTGGACTTTTTCAAAATAAAAGCCAGTGAGAAACATACATTTACAATGAAATACATAAATAATAAAAACTGTTAATGGTGTTAAAATAATTGTCTGCGTTAATGACTTAATTAGTTAACGCAAAATTAACGCGTTAACATGCCTGGCCCTAATTCTAAATAATCATCATCTTGTCTTAGTGGAGTTGGTAGTAGAAATAATCGTTCAGTTTGTGGTACAAGCATCAAATTTGGAGTGGAGCTAGATAATAACATGGTCTTTATGAAAAGCCCGTTAGACACCAAAAATATCCAAGATGGCGGCCATTTTTCAAGATATAGTATAGCATAGTATATTTGTATGTGTATAGTAGCATAGTATATATGTATAATAACTATATATGTATAAATGCCGAAGCATAGGTTTGTTATTTAATTAATAATTTCTATTTTTAGTGAAATTATTTATCAAATCATTTTTGATGGTTATTTATCACCTTTCATTATATTTATAATATCTACAAATAAATGTCATGAAATAATGACACAGAAGAAAGAAATCTCATGGACAAATCTTACGGAAACCTACCTGAAGAAATATTAAATATATGAAGTACCAATGTGCTAAAATATGTTTTGGTTAGAATATATATGTGTTTTTTTCTAGAAATGGGTGGGGTCGTAGCACAACCAGGGCACACTGTGAAACTCAGCATGGGGTTCAGTGTCGGCTATGTAGTGTTACTAACATTGTAATATTTAATGTAGTTAATGTAGCATGATGTAGTGTCCCAAATGCTCTCGAATTAGCCCTGTAAATACACCAGCTAGTAGTTTTAGTATTAGTTATACTAATATTAGTTGTAGTATTAAAGTTCGATAGCCATACCTGAATTGACAGGATATACCAGACTGAATGATGGTCATGTTAAGGAATCACTGGTTGGACCCAAATATGCAGAGGGAAAAAAAGTATTTTATTTACAAAAATAGTCTTGGCGGGGGGAGTAGATTCCAGGGGAGGCAGGACGGGTCCGGGTTGGCTGCAGATGGGAGGTCTGTGGAGATGGAGGCTGACCAGATGCTTACAGAAACTGGTGGTAACGGGCTCCAAAACGGAAGAACTGTGGAACGGATAAAAGAAAACAGGTAAGAGTCAAAATCTTCAAAAATGCTCAAAAAACACAAAAAGCCTGAGTTGTTCACCACTTGGTTGACGGAACAATCTAGCACTGGAGAGCAGGTCAGCAGGTCTTTTATTGCAGGAGATGATTACTTGACGAGGATCAGGAGTGGAGCTCAGCAGGTGAGTGATTGGGGTCTGCCCAGGAAAAACCAAATAGAGTAAGGAGAGAAGGAGCAGGGAAGGGAGGGGTAGGAGGGGCAGGATGAAAGCCTCACATGTCGTGGCATTGAAGAAACGCTAATAAAAAATTTAATCACCAAAGCTGCAGATGATTGTTCAGTAACAGTAAACTTGAACAGGCAAACAAAAGAGCAGCTTGTGATCCAGTGAACTCAGATGAAGGACATTCAAAAATTAAAAGAACTGTGCAGAAGCCCCAGCAATGTTTTTTTTTTTTTTTTTTTTTTATGTGAGAACATCGAACTAGCTTCTGAACTAAGACAAACATCAACAATGCAGTTAAATGATGAATGAATGTGCCAAAAATTTGAACAATGGCAAACTTTTTTCAACGGTTCTTAAACACAAACAGCACTATGAATGGTTCTATTTTAATGGCTCTATTTCTGAAATTAACCTATGTCAATATGTTGCATTTCATTTTAATTTTGCTTGTGTTTTTATTTCTACTTCCCAAATGGTTTATAGGATACTTTTCATTTCAAATTGTGTGAAAATTAAATGAAGTTTGTGCAACATTAAATATATTTTGGTGTAAAATTAGTTGAATACCTGACATTGCATTACTGTATATGTATATATTTGCAAATTTGTGATTTATTCCCTTAAATTTGATTAAGGACATGATGACTTTTAGCTCATACTGATGTGAAATCAGTTGTTTGGTCGCCCATCTTGCAAAATGACCTCCATGTTGGAATATTTCAGGTGGTTAAGGGGTTTTTCTAAAAGAGCAGGATGTTAGCTAAATATATGAGAAATTTGGTGCTTATACCACTAACTGAACGATTCTTGTGGTTTGGAGAGCTAATCTGCTCCACTATGATGCTTGTACCATAAAAGTGAACTATTTTGGTCCTTAACAGCTCCACTAAAAAACAGAAATCCATCAAAAAATAGCCAGCACCACAAACTGCTACTTTAATAAGTCATCACATTTTCTCAATCTTTTCATATGCTAATTAGGTCGTTAATAAAATGTAAATAGAGGTAGAACTATGCTAATACATAATGCTCCTGAGCTAGCAAAATCATGGGTTAGGCCTAATTCCTGGTAGAGCACTGCCCACGTACGACCCGCGGGACCTGACACAAAACAATACGGCGCAGGACACATTTTGAAAGCTCACTCTGGTCGGGAGCGGGACGGGACAATGCAGGAGCCGTAGTCCCACAAACTAAATATGAGTAGTAAGTAAAATATACAAATGATGAATGTTTGCCTATCATACATCATTTGTAGTGACGGGCAAATGAGTCGGAGCTCTGGAGCACGTCTCGTTCTTTCCGAAACAAACTGCTCTGAAGCACTGCCGTGGAGCTCGTCTCGCAGCAGCCGCTCACGTGACCAAAGTGTGGAAGTGTCGCTCCCTCTCCCTACTGCTTCGCTCTGCGTGTCAACCGCTTCAGTGTATCGAAGCGTTTCATTGGCTCAGCGAATGTTCCGCTCTGTGATTGGTTCAGAGTGCTTCAGAGTGTTCAGCGCACTTCTGTGGTTTGACAAGCGCTAAACTGCTACAGTATAAAAGATGCACCAATATTTCTTAAAAATGTTGGGTAGTGAGGAGTATTGTGTGACATTAGTGGTGATTGTGGTGACTTTTGGTGACTTTTGGCATTTGTTTCATTTTCGATTGCAAAGTGGAAAAAAGCAATCCATGGTTTCGGATCACTTTGATCTAATTCCACCTAACAAGGTAACACCTATTTTCTTATTTACAGGATGTTATTTATTTTGCTCTTTACATATTATTTTAAATCATTATTATTGTTGTTGTTAGGTATGGTGTACGCTCTGCACACAAATATTGTCTTATTGTTAAATTTGTCCACTACAGGTCAGTGTTTCTCCGAGGCCTCAGACACGTCGAACCATTTGAAACAATATTGCGACTGAGGTGTCAATGCTTCACGAGGCTCCATTCGCTCATCACTAATCATTTGTGCTGCATATTTTATTTGGCTTTTTTTTTGGCAGAAAAAGATTTTAAGCAGCCTGAACTTGTGGATGCAGACCTCTAATTCCTGATAATAACGTGCAAAAACGATCTCTACAACAGAGCTTAATTAAGTCACCAAACACATATTGAACTTACAGCCCCTGCTTTTGTAGGTGTACGTAAGATTTAACACACAAGATGAACAGCCTGGATACCAACAATCATGCTTACTACAACATGCTTTTCATCTGACTGAGTCAAGTCCCGGGGTCTAAAAATGGCTGCCCATTCAACTCAGTGGGCCGAGCTCAATGGTGCATGACTCCAGATTCGCCTTTAGCCTGACAAGGTACTTCCGGTGGCTCCGGGCTAATTGAGCATGTGGAGTAGTGTTCTTTTCTCCCGCGGGCACATGAAAATGCATGAGAGCATGCACACAGCGCATGGTCTTGTTAAAAATGTTAATGAGGTGTGGGAGTGAGCGGTTGAGTGACAGCTTGAGTTAATGTTGGATGCAAGAGCCTCCTACAAGCCTGACAGAGAGAGTGGGGTGTCAGGGTTCCTGGCAGGAATCTCCAAAGTTGAGTTTCTTGCTGATTTTGATGCCCATGTGGGCAACGCCAGTGACACCTGGAGAGGGGTGATTGGGAGGGACGGCCTCCCTGATCTGAACCCGAGCGGTGTTCTGTTACTGGACTTCTGTGCTAGTCATGGTTTGTCCATAACGAATACCATGTTCGAGCTCAAGGGTGTCCATCAGTGCACGTGGCACCAGCACATCCTAGGTCAGAGGTCAATGATCGACTTTGTTGCTGTGTCGGAGAGTTTAACCAATAATCAAACCTCGGATTCAGGAGGAGCAGTGTGATTTTCATCCCAGCTGTGGAACACTGGACCAGCTCTACACTCTCCATCAGGTGCTTGAGGGTTCATGGGAGTTTGCCCAACCAGTCCACATGTTCTTTGTGTATCTGGAGAAGGCATTTGACCGTTTCCCTCGTGGTGTCCTGTGCCCTGTCCTGTTCCTGCCCTCACCTATGGTCATGA